GAGGCAGTCCAGAGCTAGTTACAGGGTATATCTCCGTCAAGCCCTTTACACTGAGCATACTTATTGTATTTTTTTGTGTGTGGACTATTCGAGGCCTCCTTTGACTGCGGCTTCCGTTCATTTATCTTCTTTATGAATAGCCTATGTTCTTGTTCTTGTTGTTGTTTTTGTTGTTTTTGTTGTTGTTGTTGCGTTCTCTTATTGTGCGCTGCCTAATTTGCTTAAGAAATTCGCAATGCCAACTGTTGTGTAAAAACGTTCTCATGGCAAACCAGCGGGCAAAAAATTCAAATATTTCTTAATCCTAAGTTAATTAAATTTACTTTAATTATCTCTTGAATGTCATTAAGTGTCAAAATGTATATACAGGGTGTCTGCACTTCGGACACTTTTAAATTGAGCAGGCTTATTGTGTTTTATGTCTGTAAAGTATTACAAAAAATTATGAGAGGTCCTTCTATGGCACAACACAGGCCGATCAGGTTTGTTTCAAAACTTTGATAGCTTGGTATTTCAGGGTATCTGCTAGTCGGACACTCCCAACTTAAGCACTCCTAATTGTTTTTTGGATAGTTCCGATTAAGTAATCTATTTTAAAAAGAGTATATTAAAGAGTTTTCTTAGAGTATTTTATTAAACACATGGTTCATTTATAAATGGAAACATTTCTTCCAAAACTTCTTTAAGGTTGTGCTGCACTTGAGCTAAAAATGTTGCCCTTAACATGATGCAGATAATAATTTGGTGCTTTGGTGGTTCAATCTTAAGAGGGGCACTCATAACCGATGAGTATCCAATCAGCGCGACGGGAATCGGTTGAGCGGGTGCAGCGGGTGGAGCGGGTGCAGTTGGTGGAGCCCCTTTTACCTTTCACCCAACAGTGATCGGATCGATGCATGCTATAAATTCCAATGCTTGTCGTTCGATTGCTGTGAAAGGAGAAAGTTGCTGTGCAACAGTGCCACAAGCGGCAGGAACGCAGCGTGGATGCAACAAAAGGCGGCGGCTTTCACACGCTGCCGCCGTCGATGCCGCTGCCTATTGATGCAACAGGTGCAGCAGCAGCAGTAGCAGCAGCTGTGCAGATTGCACTGGCTCGTTGGCCAAGTGGGCGGTTGCGCCCACTGGAAGTGGGTAATGGACCGAGTGGTGCGAAAAGGAAGAGGGTGAGTGGGGGGGGGGGGGGTAACGATTTTGCGTGCATTTAATTGTGCGTAATTATTCACTTTGGTTGTTATGCCAACAACTGTGGCCCTTGCGCACCATCTACGGCTCTTAATTGGCTAAGCCGTCGCCTGCTAATTGCCCAACGGTCAGACCGTCCCGTCCCGTCCCGCCCCGCCTCTAACTCTTGCGCCCCATCCGTCCCGTTCCGTCGCGTTCAACTTTTCCATGTAATAGGTGTCTTACATGTGTTGCCGCCTAAAGTGTTTGCTTTCATTACGTTTTCATTATGTAGTTCTCACGTGATCCATAATCGGGCTATTAGCGATAACTAACTAGGTTAGCATCAAGCGAAGAGAAACAAATTATAAAAAGACTCCAAGGGTTAAGCCTCGTTGGAGCTTGCTAATTGAAAAGGCTGTCTGTATATATATTTTTTTAATAAACGCGAAAAGATTACTTTGATTGCATTTGTTTAGGAAAAAAAAAGAAACTTCAAATGAGAGCTTGAATAAGTTGCAATTGTCTGTGCTTTTTTTTAGTCTGAAGTATATATTGTATCATATCGAAACGATAAGTATGTAATAATATGTAATACTAGTCAAATTTTTAGGAATATATTATTATATATGTAAATATAGCTGAAATCCTTAGAAAATCATATATTTCTGTAGACTTAAAGTTGGTTTCATTTAGGCTATCTAAAAACATTCATCCAAACTTTCAAGTACTCATCTTAAGCAATTCACGCTTTAAACTGAAGCGCAGCCAACGTAAAGCCGCTCACAGGATATCTTAATATTACATTAGAGGTGTTACCAATGTATAATGCATTAGATGTATTCCCTCAGCAGGTTTGCTTTTCCATATGGTCGCTATTCCTAATAATGATAATCGCAATCTTCAACTTAATCGACACAATTTAACAGAATCCACACATTGTCAATCTATAATATTGTTCTGAGTAAAAGAAAGTGAAAAGGTGAAATAGTTAACTTGCGCAACCTGCTTGCTTTTTAGTGACATATTTATTTTAACTTGACAGTTTTTCACTCTGCACATTCTCTTTCTCTCTCCAACACACACACTCTCGGGCTGTCTTGTAGGTCAAGAGCAAGCTTTGACAAATTGCTTATACGCGTCTTATACAATTTTGTTGCATTTGACAGGCGCTGACATTAAATAATAATAACACCTGACTGAAGCACTCAAATGTCACTTTCCCCCACCCCCACACCCTATCAGCTAGCTTTGTAACTCCCCACACAAGTGTCACCATAAACGATTGCTCAATGACGCCAGAGTTGTCGTTTGGCTGCTTTCTTTCTCTCTCTCCTTCGCTCTCCCTCCATGTTGTACGGTCTGCATGAGTGTGCACGCAGCACTTACATTTATTCTCAGGCTCTCTTTCTCTCTGGTTCAGTACTTTCTTGCTTCGGTAGCCTTTGGAACTTTCCAGTTGAGTAAATGTGTCTCGGAGTGTCAAAAGCTATATATATATATATATATATATAAACAGACTTAAATATGTACATATATCTCTATAAGCCGGCAGCTGTTGGCGTTGACAGAACGTCATCATCAGCATCGCCGGCAGCGCATCATTGTAATTTGGAATGCCATCGCTACCGTGACGTCACAGCACATACAGCGGCGGCGTGGGAGAAGTACAAAGAGAAAAGCACTGAGAACCGAAAATTGAGCGTACGCTTTACGTCGATAGGTTGTTGTTATTTTATTATTTTATCTATTATTTCTTGTTTCTGCCGGTTGTCTACGTGCTTTTAAACATGCCGCTGCCGCTGCCACTGCACACTGGACAAAATTCGCTGTGCAATAAAATTACATGATATTTAAACATATGCATTTAAATATATATATATGTATATATATGTTTTTAACTTTATGTTGATATTATTTATTTTTCACAAGCTCACCGTTTGAATTGATCTCTAAGTGAACTGTGAACTTTTTTTTTGCTTTTACCACTGTGCGATGCTAGCGTCGTCAATGTTTACACTTTGCAGCTCAGGCATTTTGTTGTTGTGAAGTTCTGTTTGTGCTATATGTGTCTGTGTGCATGAGTGCGTACGTGCGTGCGTATTTGTGTTATTGGCTTCTCGATTTTTCTGTGCAGAGAGAGCAAACAACACAATGAAGCGACGAGAGCTGAAAAGTCGACAGCTGTTTGTCGTTGGTTTTGTTGTTGGCAAAGAAGCCATGGCTGCCTTTGCGAGTCAATGGCACAAATACATATACGCAAACGTACACACACGTACACGTGTATGCATAGGACTGTAGTCAAGCTTGTGCTAGCGCCACCTGTCGGTGGTTTGATGATATTCTCCAATGTATTTACGAACCTTTGACCGACCCAACACTCTTCCAAAGCCCCCCACCACCCATCTAAGCAACTATGTACTTAACAAGTGGGTGACTTTTGCACCATTTGCCAGGAGGTGGGCAGGCAGGTATTGGGCAGCAGTCCGTAGAGGCATGGCTGAACACCTGGGGTAAAACACACATCACTTTATTAAAGTTCAAGTGAAAAGATGTTCGTTTAAAATTGGAAATGCGCTTTAAAAACCCGAACTATATAAAATATTCGATAATAATCGCGCACAAAAATAACACCAAGGAAAAATACGCGCGCGCGGAAAACGGATCATTAGAAAAAACGCGAAACGCCAAATAAATAAAAAAAAAAAATATTTTACCTTGTTGCAAGTTTTACAAGCCGCTCGCCTTGTGACCTCTGCTCAACAAATAAAATTGTGTTTTTCTCGTTGTGTTTTTTATAGCAAAGGAAAATGGGAAATAATAAATAATAAATAAAAAAAAACCAAATCAAAAAAAGCAAAAATTATCGAAATAAATAGTTGCCTTAACAATGAAACTTCCTTGTTGACATTATAAACATACAATATATACAAAAGTAAATAACAAATATACACCACAAATATTATACATATATACAAGTTATATATAAATCTATATACAAGCTATATTTTTAATACAAAAATAAATAAAAAATATAAAAAAAAAAAAAAAAACTCATACGCGATGCGCCTAAAAGAAACCACAAAAAAATCACCAACTCTGCTGCCGCTTTCGGGTGAGCTGTTCAAAACGCTGCGCATATCGCCGCCAACAGTTGCGCAACAGCAGCAGCAGCAGCAGCAGCAGCAGCAGCTACTGCAGCAACAATATCTGCAACAGCAGCAGCAACAACAACTGCAGCAACGCTGCAGCAGCGTGGGCAGCACCAGCAGCAGCGGCACCTGCGAAACGGAACGCTCCACACAATCAACATCGGCATCGTCGTCCGCTTTGTCGCCGCTGGCCGCGATGGCAGCGATGCCCGCAATGCCCACAATGCCAACGCTGCCCGCCGGCGTTGATGAGGCGGCAGCCGCGGCTGCGCTGGCGGCCAACATAGCCGAGTCGTTTACGTTTTTGCAACAGCATGCGGCGCATCATTTTCGCGACATTTTGTATGCGGCCCACATGCTGGGAAGAGGTAAAAACCACAGCGGTGCGGGGTGGGTGGTGCGCGGGCAGCGCGGGGTGCTTGCCGGGATATTATACTAGGCTAAGATTGTTGCACGACCAGCTGTATGGCTTGCTTAACTAGTTTTTTTTTTTCAACTGTTTCTTCTTTTTTTTAGTCTTTTGTTAAGTTTTTTTTGTTTTTTATTTTTTTGGCCAACCAACCGACCAACTTTCACTTTATGCTTGGTTGCCGCATTTCACTTGGCTCAGGCGGCAGCTTAATAAAAATGCAAGCATTTACTGATTGCTGCTTCTTCCTTTTGCTTGTTCAATTTTTCTTGCAGGCTACTATCAGCCGGCGGGTCCGCTGATCTCGCCGCATGTCATTGGGCCACCGCCACCGCCAGCAACAACAGCAGCAGCCGCCCAGGCAGCGGCAGCAGCAGCAGCCGCAGCAGCAGCTGCAGCAGCGGCGTCCACGCCACAGCAAGTTAAGAAGCTACCCGAGGACGAATCCCCGACGCATCCATCAAACAACGCCGCACAGCAGTCCCAGCAGCAACATCAGCAGCAGCAGCAGCAGCATCAAGTTGCTGGCAGCGTTGAGGTTGAGCCGCCAGCGTCCGTTCAGCAGCTACAGCAGCCGCAGCAGCCGCAGCAGCCGCAGCAACCGCATCCATATCCTGGGGCTAGCGCTGTGGCGGCTGCTGCAGCAGCCGCTGCCGGTCATCCGGGTGTGCCGTATCCGCGCTCCATGCATGCGGCCCAAATGCACTATTCGACGGCATATCCGCCCAACTATTATTCACCGTATCCGGGCGAGGTCATGTGCTACTCGCCACCTGCGTATCAGCCGTATTTCTCTAGCAAGGTATATCAGAGCGGACCGCCGCCACCGCCGGCACATCCGGCTGCACATCCGCCGCCGCCGCCACCGCCGGGCGCCTATCGACGCTATCCGTATTATCAGCACGCTGGGCCGCCGCATCCGCCGCCGCCCGAGCTTTACGAACAGCAACCGCCACCGCCGCCACCGCAAGGTGTGCCGCCGCAACAGCAGCCGGCCTCGATTGCAGCAGCCGCCGCTGCCGCAGCCGCAGCAGCAGCTGCAGCCGCCGCAGCTGGTGCAACGCCCGGGCCAGCCGGCACACAGCTGGTACCCGCACACCAGCAACAGCATCTGGAACATTATCCGGGACCGCCCAGCTACTACGCCGGCTATAGTCCAGGAGGCGGCAGCGCCGCCGGCCAGTGCTACACACGCGGCCTGCAGGGTCCGTATATGGGTAAGGAAAAGTATGGTTCTTATACGGATCCACAGATCCTCAGAGATAACAAGCACTCCACAGCAGCAGATTCCCTAGTTGTAGATCCCGTCGAAAGTCCTTGAGGTCAACCAATAGACATTTTTTTCTTTTGCGACAAGCGCAATAACTTCTTATCTAGACAATTTACGACATTTTAATGTTAATTATGAAAATTTCTTAAAATTATTCTGAAGGATTCTGCTTAATTGTATATAACTATCTGATAAATATTGAGAAGAAGTTAAAAGTTAAAAGGGCTATCCAAAGTGAAGGACTACCAAAAACGCGCAAGGATGTTTTTCCTTAATTTTCATTAACAAGATTTGGCTTTTATAGAAGAACAAACTTTCAACATAAAATATAACATAAATGATATATCGTTGGACCTCTGATAATATTATAAAGTAAATAAATCAACATAATAGTTTTGCAGGAATGGGAGAATTTCGCGAGACGGGACGTGACTTTAAAGTGTTTGTAGACTTTTCCTGGTTTATCTAGGACTCAAGTCCAAAATCTCAGAAATACAAGCTAGTCACATAGGAACTCTTGGATACGTTCCCTATTCCTTTAGAGGAAGTGGAAAAAGGCCTAGTCTCAGGCTAGTCTTATCGCACCCTCTTGCGTTCACTGTAGATATCCGATAATTTCCATTTGCACTAAACAAAAAACGTGTATAGGAGTTACAATGAGGCCTTTAGTCATAATGTATATATATATATATATAAATAAATGTATATGCATAGGAGGAAAACTCCTTAACAAATTCCATTTATAGCTAACATATTTCTTTAATATTTGCTTTTTGTGCCGCCACAGAGTATCCGCCGCAGTGTCCGTGTCCAATGCAACAATCGTGTCCAAAAAACGTCCATACTGGGCCTCATATTGGTAGCAACAGCAACAGCAGCAGCAACAACAACAGCAGCAGCATCAGCAGCAACAACAGCAGCAACAACAGTTCCACGCACAAGACGAGCAGCCATAGCCAGAGTTTGCTGCTGAGTGCTGGGAGCAACAACAGCAGCAACATGCCTGTGCATGGCAGCCAGTCGAGCAGCGATGGCAGCTTGACTGCCAGCAACTGCAACAGCAGCAGCAACAGTTTAGCAGGTACAGCAACAACAGCAGCAGCAGCAACAGAGACATCGTCAACAACAGCAACAACAACGACAACAGCGCTGACTACCAGTAGGGGCCCAGTTAAAAATGGGATCAATAACAACAACAAAAGCAAAGACACGACAACAATGACAGCAACAACACCGACGGCAACGGCAGCAACGAACACAACATCAACAGTTGCATCTGTTGCCACGTCGGCAACAACAACCACCAACAACATGGGCACCCAGTGCCAAATGCTGGTCAAAACGGAGCTCAAGAGCGACGTCGAGTGCCAAGTGACCAAAATGCAATACGAGGCGCATGTAATGCCGCCGCCAACGCCGCCCGAAAGCTACTGTGCCAGCGATGATAAATTGCTGGAGGATCAGGAGCAGGAGCACGAACACGACCAGCAACAGCAACAATTGCAGCTGCAGCAACAGCCAAAGGACATCGAGTCCTATGATTTGACGGGCAGCACACCGCCGCCGCCAGTTGTGTTGCCACGCAAGGCGCGCATTGGCAAGAGCATGGCCAGGGAAATGGTATATGCGGCACAGCAGCAACAGCAACCGTTGCTGCAGCAACAGCACCAACTACATCAACACCAACAACAGCACCAACAACAGCAGCAACAACTACAACTGCTGAGCAAGCAAGCAGAAGCAGAACCACAATTGCCTTTTGTACTTAAAGCAGAAATCAAAGCGGAGACCAAAATCAAAATCGAGCACGATGAACTAGCAGCAGCAGCAGTTGCAGCTGCATCAGCTGCTTTAACGGCAGCAACATGCAACACACATATCAGCAAACTGCCGGATCTGAAGCCCACAATCAAAACGGAACCAGAGCTTGACTTGGAGAAGCCAAAGCCGCAGCAGGAGGAGCAGCAGCAGGAGCAGCCGCCGCAACAGGAGCAATTGCCGCCTAATAGCAGCAGCAGCAACAGCAGCAATGTTGCCGCTGGCAGCAACAGCAACAAGCGCATCAATTTGCTTGCATCGGCAACGCAGGGCAAAAAGTCAAAGGTGCACAGCTACAAGAGTCTCATCAAGCAGGCGGAGCCAAAGACTTATCTCTCCACCGGCCGCAAATTTGTGCAGCGCTATGGCCGAACGCCGGCCAAATATGTAAAGCGGCGGCAAATGTTGTTAACGCAGCAGCAACATCGATTGCGCGCGCAGCGACGCGAGCAACAACGCAAACAGCAGCAGCAACAGCAGCAGCAGCAGAAACAAACGGCGTCAACTGCAGCCGCAGCAGCTGCAGATGAGGCAGCAACAACAACAACAGCAGCAGCAGCAGCAGCAGCAGCAGCGGCGGCGGCGTCGACGGCGGCAACATTGTCGCTGGGCAAAAGCTGCTCGCCCAGCGCATCGCCAAAGCGTGCACGTCCACGTAAACAGGCAATTGCAGCACTGCATCTGCTGGAGAGCCTGGACACGACATTGACGCGCGGCTATTTCAGCGATCCGGAGCTAAACAGCAGCAGCTGCAGCAACAGCCGCGGCACAGCACCAACAGTTGGCCTGTACGCGCCGGCAATACCGTCGCCATTGCTGGCGCCGCAGCCGGCGCTGTTGAGCGAGAAGCGCTCCAAGTCGGAGACGAAAAAACCGCTGCTCGCAGCGAACTGTGCGGCGAGCGTTGCGTTGGCGTCGCTGGCGACAACGTTGCCCACAAATTCTACCTCAGCTGGCGTCGAGCCGCCGGCCAAAAAGCCGCGCAAGCAGCCGGCTAAGGCCAAGGCCAGGCCGATAACGGCCAAAAGCCGAAAAGCAGCAACACCAGCAACAGCGTCAGCATCAGCAGCAGCAGCAACAGCAACTGCAGCAGCAGCAGCTGAGGCAACAGCATCAGCTGATGCCGAGACCAATAACAATGAGTATCAGATGGCAGATTTGCAGGCGCAAAAGCTAAGTGCCACGCCCACAGTGCCAGTTGCCGGTGCTGTGCAACAATTGTTGCCAGACGAAACGGTAGCCATCGCCGCAGCAGCAGCAGCCGCAACTCATCCGCCGCAACATTCCGATGAGCAACAACACAAGTTCCTGGTGCCCCACAAGCCAATCGAGACACCTTTACCGCCCACAGCAATGGCAACAAATGCAACGCCAGCGTCCACGGCGCGTCACGCCCCCACAACAACAACAACAGCAGCAACAGCAGCAACAACAACAACGCACACAAAACGGGCGCGTTCCCGCTGCAAATTTGGCAACCGAAAGAAACAACGCCATCGTCCTGGCGGCGTCAGCTACGAGGTGGACGAAACGCAGCCGCCGGCAACGCGGGCGAATGTGGTGCCCAAATGGAACAACGGCTGGATGTGGGCGGGCAAGGCGTTCCAGGGTCCAGTGTTTCTCAATGTGAGTCACGAGTCAATTTCCATACACAAAAGTCAAATGTTAACCTCTCTCTCTCTCTCTCTCTCTCTCTCTCTCTCTCGCTCGCACACACTTTCTCTGTGCTTGTAGAGCGATGATCCGTTGGTGCTGCGCACTTGCTATCCGGCCATGCGGCATGTGGAGGGCGACATCATTCGCACACGCGACTGCGTCCTGCTGAAGGCCAACGAGGACAACGAGCTGCCTTATGTGGCCAAGGTGGCGCATCTCTGGCAGAATCCTGAGGATGGTAAGCACTGCAACTGGACAGGTTGCAAACAAACAGAAAGTAGTGCTAGGGATTTTATTTTTATATTTGGCCTAGCTAGTGTACAAATATTTATGAATCTTTCTTCGTTCATAAAATGAATCCTTAGATTGAGATTGAGAATCATCATTGGTTCGAACCTGAACCAAAGAACACAAGTTGTTGATTTCATTAATTAGATACATTTTTCGAAAACTGAACTAGTTCTAAGGTCTTGTCTAAGGTTTTTAAAAGAACTGTAAAGGCCACACATCAGCGAGTAATTGATAAAGAATATATTAGAGACTAGTTCATTGAGTGAAAAAGTAATTTACAAAGTAAATTTTATTTAATTAGAACTTATCAAAGGGGAACTAGTTCGTTAGCGAGCATGCGCTTATTAATTGAAAAAAGTAAAGAAAATTTTACTAAACAAAAAACTAGTACAAGGAGAACAAGTTTATTTGTGACTAGATCATTGAGTGAGAAAAAGTAATTGATAAAGGAAATTTTAGTTGATAAGAAGCATAAAAAGAGAACTTGTTCATAAGTGACTAGTTCATCAAGTGAAAAAAGTGATTGATAAAGGAAAACTAGTTCATTAGTGAGTATATGCTTATTTGAGGGAAAAACTTATTCGTAAATTCTTTAAAGCATTTGCAGCTCATATTAAATAGTTAATGAACTGGTTGATTTTCTCGAGAAAAATATTTGTTTATTAACTAAACAAGTTCATTGTGAACAAATGGAAATGATAGGTCGAATGGAAGCTAACAATTTTTAGGAATACTCAAAAGTATTCATTTTTACCAGTAAATGAGCTAATTGAGTGAGTTAATTTAGAGTGAGTAAATAAACTAGTTCGTTTGGCGAATTGGCGAATTTAAATTGAGCACTTCTAAATATTTGGCCGCCATTTCAGGTGAAATGATGATGTCCCTGCTATGGTATTATCGCCCCGAGCACACGGACCAGGGCCGCCAGCGCAATGACTGCCCGGACGAGGTGTACGCGTCGCGTCATCGGGATCACAACTCGGTGGCCTGCATTGAGGATAAGTGCTACGTGCTGACCTTTAGCGAATATTGCAGGTAAGTGAGGTGGGCATTTAAATTGGATCAGATTAACTAATGCCAAGTCCCAACAATTCGAACAGATATCGACGACGCCTGCGCGCGGCCGAGGAGGATGTGGAGGATGTGAGCATTGTGCCGCGACGCAGCAATACAAGCAATTGTTTTACGGTACGCACCGTTCCGGATCAAACGAATCCGGAGCTGGTCATGTTCTGCAGACGTGCCTACGAGTTTCGCACGCGTCGCCTACTCAAGCTGCCGCAGAAGAACGCGCTGGTCTGCAGCTAGCGCCGGGCCACTTAGGGTCTTGCCCTAAACGAAAATCAAAGCAAATTTTGGAATACGCTGCGGAGAGGCGAGTGCGGCATGGTGCAGTCCAAGCCATGCCACTAACAACAGCCTGGGCAGATGAGAACGGGCCAAGACACAACATATAACACACACACCCACACACACACACACACACATACTCAAACAAATACACACACACGACCAAAATGGGGAGAGCAAAATGAATGGAAAAGAGAAAATGTAACTGGAAAAACTACGCAGTTTATTTTCAAGTAATTTTTGTATTACCCAACTTATTATTTATTATGCGCCCAACAACACACACACACACACACACACACACACACACCTTGTTATTAAGTTAAATGTATTTATTATTCTTAAGTTTAGTCAGCAATCTTTTTTCCGCTCCCTTACTCTAAATGTATATGTTTTTTTTTTCTCTATATATATATAAATATATATATATATATTTTTATTTCTGACTCTACTCTCCAAAAAACTTATTTAATGCTCAGGCAAACACTTTGCGCACACTCTGCTCCAACTGGCAAAATCTTTGTAAAACGACTTGGAAACAAGAAGAATGAAAATCATTTGAAGTGAAAAAACTTAACACAATTCTACGCGCTGTTGGTTTTTTTGTTGTTAGTTTTTGTAAGCGAAAAAAAAAATAAGAAAATAGAAATGAAAGCAGCAGAGGAAGCACTTTTTTTTGTTTTTAATTTTATATATTTGAGCAAAATACTTTGGGAAATTTGATTTCTGCAACAAATTATATATATATATATATATGCTTTAGTTTTTATATACATACATAATGTAGACCAAATTAAGTACATATACTATTTTTTTTTAATATTTTTTAAAAGGAAAAATTTAAGCTACGTGCATAATTTATACATTTGATGAAAGCATTAACTTTAAGTACGAGTTACACAAATCCTTAATGAACAGAAAAAAAAAAAAAACAAAATAATAACAACAACAACAAGTCACATACATTAACAAATGTACTTTAATATATATATATATTAAATATTATTTAATTTTAATGCCTAGCGATCTTAGTTTGAAAGCAATTGAAAATCATTTGTTTTATACCAAATACAAAATAATTTATGCACCTAATTTAGAAACAAACACACACACACACACACACACACACTCACATACACACACACACAAAAGCAACTACATATATACATATATGCACTTGTGTATTATCTATATATTATATATATTATCATTATTATTTTTTATTATGATTTTCATTATTTTTTTTTTTTGTAATAGTTTTCTTTGTTTACTATTGAAACAAAAGCTCATAATAAAAATACATTTTAATCGAGCCAATGCGTCTTACCTTGCAGACCTCAGATCAAGAATTTACTATGATAAAAAAACAAGTAACTTTTTATGTTTTAAGAGCTCAGTCAAAGTTTTAGATTGTTTTCCAGTAAATGCGACATGTTGTCCTGAGTTATGCTCTGCTCTGGCTTAAACCAGTTGCGATATATAGACGCGCTTGAGTCTTAGCTCAGGATAAAGTATGTTATTTGAATAATACGCACACGGCATTATGGTCGAAATTTTACATTAAAATATATCTCACAGAAAAAGATTGTTTCTAGAATATTTTAAACAAGAACTTACGTACTATAAGAAGATTAGGAAGCCTATGTTTTTGAAACTCCTTTAAGTATGCAATTGAAAATATATCGAAATTGTGTAAATTTCGGCGTATTTGATGAGAGTGCGAAATTTATAATATAACTAGGCGTATGTATCTCATCGTCTAAATTCCAATTGACAAGCAATCATACAGAAATATGCAATAATATATACTGACCAGGATAAAATTAAGAACCATTTGTGCTGTGGTAGTTTTATTTAATGTTTACATACTTCTAAAAAAACAAATGCAATGGACATTTATGTGATTTTCATGCGAAAATGAAACTCGGAATATAAACGAAATAAGGAATATCAAATGTGTTCTATATTTGAAACATTTGAGCTCTCCAAATCAGTTCTTTGTAAAAGAAGAATGTGTTTCTTCTTTAAGTATGTTAAAAGGCATAAACATTAAATAAAGTTCGTTTCAGGTTAGGGAAAAAATTGATATTTTTCCAGTTTTCCAAAATATATTAGCATACTTTTAGGCTGCAAGGATTTATGTTTAATTTCGTAATCTGAGCGTGTTCACGTTGGGCATCTACTTAAGCTGGTTTACGGTGTGCAAAACCAAAGCAATTTATTAGCAGGCATAGAGTATATATATCTATATAAATATATATATTTATATATACGTAAATACATATTAACAATTAGGGGCTGCAGTAGGCGTGTCAATGAGCTATATGTGTGTAGCGCAGTAGAGAGCGTTTAAGGTATTGCAAAGTGAAAAGTGTGGCTTAGACAGGTTAGCAATAGGAAGCGTTATAAATACACATTCATACACACACACACACACACACTCACATACACACATATATATATATATATATATATATACATATATACTATATAGGGAGCATTGCAGACATATGAAACATGTATACCAAAAGCATATATCAAAATAAGAACACAGTTTACAACTCGGGGCCATTCGGTTATGGGTATGAGCCGAAGTAATGGTCCAGCACAATGTATTCAAGCGCAGGGGAAATAATTCAATTACAGCCATATATAAGGTATACAGAGAGCCTAAATTGCGTATGATATTTCTATACCCTATATACATAACATATATACATAAACATAACATAACACACACACATTCATGCATGCGACTATACTAGACACATACACAGGTACACTTATTGGGCCACAGTTGCAGAGCTGCAACCAAATTCTACAATACATATACATACATATACGATATATATATATATATATATATCTATATATCTATATCTATATATATATATAAATTTACATATATATTTCTATAGACAATGGGTTAACAAAAACTAAAAGAATAATAAAACTCATATATTTGTACAATAGAATGTAAACGAAAGCAATTGAATATTCGCACAAGAAGCCAACAAATGTTGGTTAACACCAAATACTCAATACACACACACACACAGAATGCCTGAAAAATTAACAATATTTAAAATGTAACGAAAGCAAAAAAACAAAAAAAAAAACCATGAGTAAATGAACAAAATTTAAATGATTTTTTTCTTGAAACAAATGTTATAAATTAATTGTAGCCCGTAGCCAAAATTGAACGTCAAATTTGTAATTTGTTTCCAACTCACCAAATAGTTAAATGCCCGTTCTATATTCTATACACATATATACATATATATATATACATATACATATATATTTCTATATATATATGCATATGTACAGTGCATATGTGCCAGTGTATGTGTGCATGCGTACTGCATAAATATTATTGAGTAATTATTATTGTATTTAAACAAGTTGAATTTTTGTGCGTCGCCCATTTAATAAAGACATTTACCAAGGGCACGTTGTTCGTTTACTTGTATCATCTTATCGAAAGAAAAAAACAAATAACAAATCCCAAGCCCCCATTTATCCAATGGGGGGTCATTTTTTTTCTCTCAGCGAAATGTTTCGAAATGCTAATGAAATACAACACTTAGCAATTAAAATCATAACACGAAAAAATGGTCAATAAAAATCAAAATATTGTTTATTAGACAAATAAATGTATTTTTTGGCAAACTGGTTTTAATGTGGGCATGGGCTGAAATTAAAGCTTTTTCTTAAATCAGAATTACGTATTCTATCTTAATATATTCGATTATCAATCAATTCTGCTTTCATGTGAATTCCACACAGTACACTAAGAATATTTTTCGGATAGTCTGTGTAATTTCGGATAGTGTATCTGGAATGTGTATGTGTGAATGTATGTATGTATGCATCAATGTATGTATGTAGGTATGTGTGTATGTAAGTATCTAAGTAAGTATCTAAGTATATATGAAAGTATCTAAGCATGTATGTAAGTATCTAAGTATGTATGTAAGTATCTTTGTGTGAATGTATGTGTGAATATGTGTGTATGTATGTATGTATGAATGTATGTATGTATGTATGTATGAATGTATGTATGTATGTATGTACAAATGTATGTTAGTATGTATGTATGTATGTATGTATGTATGTATGTATGTATGTATGTATGTACGTGTTTAGCAAATGTAGACAAAGTAAAATTACGGCTAAATTTGAAAACAACGTACCTTAAAGTGATGCCTTACTCCTCGATTCTCATGAACTCAAGTAAGCCAGGCAGGTTTCCTTGCTTTGACTATAAGTTGGTTTTTTTGTGAAAAGTGTCGTGTTCATATAAACATATGCGTTTGTATTTTTGTTAATCTTTGTATGCATGTGTTTATGTATATATGTTTGTATGTAAGTATGTAAGTATTTAAGTATGTAAGTATGTATGTATGTATTCATATATGTATGTTTTAATGTAAGTATGTAAGTCTTTTTTGCATCTTTGTATGTATGTATCTATCTATGTATGTACGTATGTATGTATGTATATATGAATGTGTGTATGTATTTTCCCTTATAAATAACGCAGACCAAGATTACTACCCGCAGCGCTGGAAAAAAGAGTAATGTAAAAAGTAAAGTTATTAATGCCCTACTAAGCGATTCTCATGAATTAAAGTTACCCTCACAGAGTTTCATGCTTTGATAATAAGTGTTATATTAATAGAATGTGCTGATAACCTGTGGTTTTATTATTGTTGTTTGAATTTGATTTACGTATTTGTTTAAACATATATTTTTTTGTATGTGTATGTTTTTATTCAGATATTTGCTTTTGCTTTTATTTTTTCTCCTTGGAAAAAGAGCAGGAATTAAATTAGTGTATATCAAACGCTAATTTTAATTAACTTAGTTGTTAATTGTTTTTCTGTAAGTGTTTTTGTGTATTGAATATCATTTAATGCACTTGCAGCTATTTCAAGTTCAAACGATTCAAACGACTCGAAGCTTTGGGGTTGGGGTACCTGAAAACCGCATTCATAGGTCGAGCTGAGATCTATTAGCACTTGGCACTTCAGGCGTCACGCACGCCCACAACAAGTTTCCGTGGCGTCTTGGCCAAGGCTGATAAGCATCCAAAACACGTACTGCTCAGGGGTTAGATATGCTCCACGTGCAGTTCCGGGCGGAGGGGAGGAGGGTTGCCTTGACATTGATGTGCCGAGCGGGTCGTCTGACGCATTCTGCGAAGCGCAAACCTCAAGCTCGAGCCTCAAATTAAAATTAGTTGCGACCGCAATTAAGTTAATCGTTGTTGTTGTTGTTGTTGCTTCGTTTGTGGCATGTTCTCATGACTGGGCAAATTGCTTATTCATATTTAAAGAAAGTCAACAATTCGTTTTTATGTTCTCACAAACGCAGCCCAATTACCTCTCTCGTATACAAATCAGCATTGGGCCCGTCAAGTCGGATGCGCGCTCTGCCCCCTTCAATTAGTATCTATATACAAATACATAGCTCGCCTACAGATTCAGATACCTAGAGAGCGTATCTCTAAGGGCGCTCAGTTCTTATACCCTGTAGT